AGGTGGGCATTAAATTGTTAAAAAGTTAAAGTTATTTTTTTTTAACTTTTTAACTTGACTACCGTAAAATGGGGTGACTTTTATAATGACATGTGACTTTGATAATCACGTTTTATTTTGATTAAACGGTTAATAGTGGCTACACTGTTGGCTACAACCTTGATGGGCATGAGGTAGGTATCAATTAAATTAAATTAAAATATAATAGCTATTACACTGTATTATATTATAATAAATAATTTAAAAGTATTACCTATGTTATGTTATACCTACTTTATAATGTAACTTTAAATACTGAGTTAGTCTAATTAAAATTTATAAATATTATGTTATGTTATACCTACTTTATAATGTAACATTAAAGACTGAGTTAGTCTAATTAAAATTTATAAATATTATGTTACCATGTTATACCTACTTTAAAATGTAAATTTAAAGACTGAGTTAGTCTACCTACTTAAAATTAAAAAATATTTTTTGTTATGTTATATACTTACTTTAAAATGTAAATTTAAATACTGAGTTAGTCCACTAAAAGTTTAAAAATATTATGTTATGTTATACTTTAAAATGTGTTCTGTATTTAAAAAATACCTACATTATTATTATTACTTACCATATTCCTGTATCAAAGTAACCCCACAATACATTTTAAATTATATCTCGAAAACTATTTGACCAAATTTTAAATGGTTCGAGATTGATAGGTTTCATAACCTTTCCATTAATTTAAAATTAAAAAAAATAGTGGTTTCAAAGTCACCCCGAAGGCGGTATAACTTTGATAGCTATTTTCAAAATATAATTTAAAAAAAACCAATAGTTGAAAAAAATTAAATTACAATTTGAGGAAATTGGTAAAAACAAACTTGAGGCAACAACACTATTTTTAGATCTGTGACATACGTATTAAAGAAATTACAAGTAAAACAACAATAAAAAATTAACAAAATTTATCAAAGTCACCCCGATCTACGGTAGTTAATTATTTTTGTTTCTAGCTTATTGACTTATTCAGTTAACATTTCCAACGTAATTATATAAAATACCTAGATGTTAGGTAGGTGTATAGAATACCATTTATACCAATATTAAATATTAATAAAATAATAAATTATAATTTTCTGGTAACGATGTTGAAAAAAATTAAGTAGTAAATTACTTACTGGATTGTTGTAAAATGTTGGGTAAAATAACGTTTTTATTCTAAATAACGATAAACGCAAAACTTGGATAACGTTTTAATTTTGAACGATAAACACAAAAATATTATAACCTAACCTAAAAATTGAACTAAAACATTCGAACGAGTTCCTTTTAACGTGGTTCTTCCATTTTACTCACAGTCAATGAGGTTAATTTAAACAGAATAGCAGCTACTTAGGTATATGAAATATTGAAAGTCGTTCTGATTTAGGAGGAACGAACGTATATTATCCAAAGACCGCACATCATCGTACATCAACAAAGCTAAAATCACTAAACTAATTTATTTTAGAGAGATAGAAAGTCATCAGCTTAGGTTGCGAGAAAGCACAATAACATGGAGTCCTAGGATTAAAGTCAAGGCATTTTTTAAGGGCGATACGGCAAAAAACAAAACACGAAATTGTCCAATGTCTATAAATAGGTAGCTAAAAAAGGCCAAAATATTTTGAAAATTATACCATATATAGGAAATTCTACTTTGATGAGAGTTTTGTGTAAGTGCTTATCTATTCGATTATTTGTTTTTGATTAAAACTAAATAAGAAAATCGTATGATGAGAAATCGTTGTTTTACACATGAACACCCTGCATTAAAATTAAAATTTCAGACAACCATTAAAAAATAAAAAATGGTAAGTGGATGTCGCTCTGCTTTACAGTGCGTTACAAGTGGGTCATAATATAAAATAATTTTCGAATTCAAAATAATAAAGATTTAATGTTATTTTTCACATATAAATGTATACACGCATTTTATATTAGATTCTGAACGGAATAATTTATTGCCATATGAATAAATAAATAAATAAATAATAATTTTAATAAGTATACAAAAAAATAGAAATTAAATAATATAATTATGTATAATATTATTCGGTATCAGTAAATAAGAACTGCAAATTTCTTCGTTTTATTCCAAACATATTAATGACATCCTGAATGAAAGTATCCTCGTTTGCATTAACTCTATCACGATGAAAAATGGGTTTACACAAGCCATTTAAACGATCTTCTCCTGTAATCGAGCGAAGCCACGTTTTTACTCGTCTTAATGTACTGAACGATCTTTCTATTATGCACGTTGTCGGAGGCAGTGATATAAAAATATTAAGTATTTGAAAAATTGCAGGACAATAAATCAACAAACGAAATTTCATCACACTGGGAGTCAATCAATTTTTATCAATCCAATACTCATATCAAAATATTAGATTAATCTATCATATTTTCAATTTCATAATGATCAGTAATCAGCTTAATTTTTTCTTTGAAAACATTAATGGTGTACTTTTTAATATTTGTTGGATACAGTAGACTCATTGAGAATGATATTTTATTTGTACTTGAAAATCGTCTTGAAAGAGATGATATTAGTGAATCTAAGTACGTAATAAAAATAGAAAATCTGTAATAATGTTCAGCAGAATCGGTTTCGTAATTTGATCTATTTTTTTGTTTGGTTGCAACACGTGGAATTTTAATTTTTTCTGCCATAAATACGGAGTTATTAAAAATATCATTAAAAAGGATATCTGATTGTTCTCTATTATTATTAAAATATAGTTAATAAATATTGAATATGATTTTGGACCGAGTATAAATCAATAGATTTTGCCTGCAGTTTATTTGTAACTGGTTCTAATTGAGCTGAGTATTTGAATATAATATTTAAAGATATAATAATTGTTAAAAATTATTGAGCTACAAGTTCATAATATTTTTTCCAGGGGGGCAAGTTCCCTGTCTTCCCCCCCAATGGGCGCCCACGAGTGTGGATATTTTATATTATATTTTTATTACTTATTATTAAGTATTAGTACTATAAATTTACAACAAAACAACTAAAATTGTTATTCTTGGTTATATTTTAATATGCAATTTTGTCCTAATATGTAAGTAGGTACATAAAATAACTATAAAAAAAAAACTGTGTTTTTATATTTTTGAGACTGTTTGGTTAAAGAATAACCTATTTACGTGGAACCTTGTCTTAAATGTCCAATTCATAGCTATAAAATTTGAACATTTTATACATTTTTAACTACAAAATCGTTTAAATCTAGTTCGTTTTTGAATAACAACAAAATAAGAAAATCGCCAATTCTTTTAACGCATATTTTAAAAATCGAGTGAATATCCAATTAATATTAACTATACAAATTTAATTTATACTATTTACACTTTCTTATGCACATTGTTTTTTTTTTTTTGATAAAGGTAGACAAGCTCATAAAGAATCTTGTATTATATTTTTGAATTTTAGATTTAAATAGAACATTTTTTAGGATTTTCTAACTCAAAATAATTTGCAAATTTTCGTGATTTTTTGCCTTCTGTCAAAATTCGAACTTCAAATTCTTTGAAAAAAAAAAATGTGAAGTGTAATCCAATCAGTGTTACTACCCCAAACGGTTATGACAGACACAAAAATAAAAATAAAAAAATCCCACATCGTTATAAAATCAATACATTCATCGCTCTAATCAGAATCTAAAATGTGGAATAACGTTCAACTTCAATTTATAATTACTGTAATATCAACTCGTGAGGAACCTTGAATTACAATTTTCCAATCTTAGATATGAAAATGTTAAATATTTTAGGAATTTCTATCTACAACATATAGCTTGCAATTTTTTTCTTATTTTGATAAAATTCTATCATCAAAGGCTCATAAAAAAATATCGTGGATTCACGCAAGGTTCTATATTATGGTTTAATAATAGGTACTGGTACAATTATACCGGTATAATATTATGGTATTATAAAAAAAAAAAATATTAAAATATCGTATTTTAACATCACTATTTTTATTTAAGAACTATCCATCTATTACGATCACTCGTCCCAAATGCGTTAGAAGACCGGCTTGATTTATAATTCGGGTTATTAATGCTACGGTCGAAAAAAATTGATAACATTGATTTATGTAGCACTCTAAAAAAAAAAAATTAAATGTTCACCGAGAAATATTTCTATTAGAACACAGTATAGTTTCGCTCTCTGGTGGTCAAAAATAATTCCAATATGCTACTCTCGGAGGAGCGCCGATGTAGTTGTCGAAATGTAGATTGAGCTGTTCTATTGATTTCGGTAAATTTTTTTTAATATTGTATCATGAAGATTAGAGATAAGGAGACCAAACTCCGTATACAAAATATGGCACGACAAAAGTCGCACGGTTATTCTGCCACCAGGAGTGCGTCATTCGATAGCAGTGCTACGTTTTACCACTTATTATACGTACTTTTCTATAAATGTACGTTCTTTTTCATTTTTTTGAATTCGAATGAAATATAAATTATGATTTATTATTTATTACCTGGTCAGGTTAAAGTATACCTAAATATATAATCAAAGTTCAAAAGGTGTTTGCTATAAAAAAAGTTTAAAATTCACATCATTATATAATAACTACGGTCTATGAGTCTAATTAATAATGATAAATGAAACATAAAATACAGATATGGTAAATATAAAAATAATACATTAATTAAAGTCTTGACAACTTTCTACTACACTTGGTTTTTTCCTTTTTTTTTGTAGTTTCATTGTAGTTTGAACGTCTTACAATAAAATGCATACGTATTGTAATAAAAAATCGAACAATACTTTTTGTCAAACCCATATGTGTTCTTCACAACCAATAAATGGTAAAGATGCTGTGTCCGTCCATAAGTTTGAAGTTATAGAAAAAATTGTATTTACATTTAATTCTTTAGATATTAAAGTCTGTAACTTTATTTTTTCTAAAGTTGAAATAAGAGCAAAAAGACTATCTGATGGCCGAATCAAATAATTGTATGCTCTGTTAAATAAAATGGTAAGTTCGGAAATATAGATTGAACTGCCCCAGCTTTTAATGTGGGTCTAATTCTTTTAATTTTATTGACTGTTCTATCATTTAAGATAGTCTCATCATAAATTAGAATATCATTCTCTTTGAAATGCACTTCACACACATAACACTTTTCTGTGAGCATTTTGTCTTTCCTAGGTATAGCTCTATGCCATCTTGCTAAAAGCTCTGTGTTCTAAATATTATTTGTAACAAATAATTAAATAAAAAATGATTATTCATAAATAAGGTTAAGATAGTATGTTTTCTTACTTTGGGTGCTTTAAACAAACTTTTATTTTTTAATCCAATTTTTTTTTTTATGTTTGACATCTAAAGCATAACCAATATTACACCCTGGCACGAAACAACAATAAACCATTTTTAATGTGTAAGAAATAAAACACAAAATACAAATTACTATTGTTTTATATATAATTATTGTATTCAAATAAAAATAATCGAAGCAAAATAATAATAAAAAGTATTTAAAACCTTATCATTGTATTCATTGTCTATTTATAAATTTAATATTTTGATGAATAATAAATATCATGTATGAATTTTGCATTTTTGAATTATTTTGAGCTGTTTAGGGAAATTGTCAGTTCCCATTTTTTTAGTTTTTTATTCTATAAATATCAATTAAAATTTATTGGTTGGTTAAAAAAGCTTGAAAATGTAATAGAGGGCTTCTAGTATATTTTTTCAAAGGTAGATGAAAAATATTAAAAATTATTAGTTACAGTTTTTTTTATAAGCATTTAGAGGCCAAAAATTAAGAAAATATGGAAAAATCACGAAAATTAGCAAATTATTTTGAGTTAAGAATTCGTAAAAATTTTTCTTTTCAAATCTCAGATATTAAAATGTAATTCAAGATTCTTTATAAGATTATCTACCTTTATCAAAAAAAAAAAAAATATATATAAGAAAGTCAAATTAAATTTTTATGAGTGTTTGAAATTCAAATTTTTACAACATTGGATATTCACTCGATTTCTCGTGTAGCAATTTCCTTATTTTGTTGTAATTCAAAAACGAATGACTGTAGATACATGACAATTTCACTGAATATTTATTATATATACATATATATATTTATTATATTTATATTAGCATTTCCTATACACCTTACAATTTTTAAAATATTTTGACTCTTTTTGAGCTGTTTACTGACATTTTCAGTTTTTATTTTTTTTAGTTTTTTTTTTCTATCAATATCAATTAAGTTTTATCTGTTGGGCCAAAAAATGTAAAAATTTAATAAAAGGCTCCTGATATATTGTTACAATATCAGTTAAAAATCTAAAAAATACATAAGCAAATTTTATTTTTTTAGTCATTTTAGTTCAAATTTGGATGAAATTACATAATAAAAAACCTAGAATAACTATTTTAGTTATTTTGTTGTGATTGTATAATATTATTAGTGGGTACTTGACACTTCTCAAGTGCACTATTATATATCTATGATAGTATCATGGTTTGTTGTTGATGTATAACGCGTTATAAGTACCTAATGGAGATTGTGATATGATTAATTTGGTATTTATTATATTTACCTATTATAGGTCAATTTTTTTAATACCATAGATAAGTTTATAATATGTTTTATACCTAGACTGGCTAGACTGACATACCGCCTCCGCTCAGAATCGTTTTTCTTATACAATGATATTATATCATTGAATTCGAATTTAATACCATCCATTATACACTGACCCACTTGTAACCTACTGTACAGCAGAACACCTTTTGTTTTATTTGTTTTTTTATTCTTTCCGTAATGCAAATTTCCCCAAAGCCGGAAATAAGTCATCAGCTTCAATGTCAATAGATTGAATAATACATTTTACCGCCACCAAATTATCGTGTTCCTATATATTACAAACACTATAATTTTGACGCCACTGCCACTAGCAGTGTCATTTGGAAGTGGGACAAAATATCTTGTAATAATATAGTAGGTATGTAGTCTATAGATTATATTATTACTCGCGTACTCGACCCGCGACAACATTATACTTTGTCGTCGTCATAGCGATCGTGCATTTGACCGGGCAGCGATTTCCGCAGCGTCTGTACTGCGAAATATGCCAATTAATTTATCGACGATTATACGACGCAAACGTCCCCGACACGGTCGTTAAAACGCATATTATTAATATCGAATAATAATATAATAATGCGTAGGTTTAATAGGCGAGGGCGTTCGTGGATAGGTATTAAGTACGACCCCCCCCCCCGTGTTCTATCGGTTAATTTTCTATCAAACCGAAAACTCTTCGGCCGATGCCATTCTGCAAACGTTCTGCGCAGTGTTGGCGGTACCTACCACAATGAAATCGACAAAATTATTTAAAATTTATAAATCTACGGTTCTGCAGAGGCGTGTCTAGGGACTAGGACCAAATTTCAGGACAGGCCCGGTTACAAAAAAGTATGTGTGTTACCAGTACGCGCGCGGGAAGTTAAACTTCTTTTGAATGGTACACGTGAGTGAGTGAAAAAGAAAGAAAAAAATATTAATTAATTTAAAAAATGAGAAGAAGTATCCGGAATTATTTATTATTGATGGTTTTAATATTTTTTTAATATTTTTATTCGACAGATGGATGGATAATTGTTTGTAGTATTGTTTTTATCCAGACAATAGATTTGTGAGTGAATAATAATAATAATAATAAAAATAAATAATAATCGATCATTAATAATAATTATTCATATTAATTAGTATGGGCCAAGATAGATGAATCTGTTTTTTATTTTGCAACGTTTATATAATATTAACGACCATATTAACGACATACTTATTATATTATTATTATCATCGTCGTCGAAACCTCATCGGCAGCACAGATATAAAATATATATCTGTGGCTGTCACCGACCAACATTATATATTTTATAATACGTAATATTATTATTATGTCATATTGACGCCGCCCGATTATAATATAATATAATATAATATAATATAACAACACTACCATGACAATATTTATTTATTTACGGACATGTACGCTTTCGCGTTCGTACGGCCGCCCGTTCGTACGCGCCGCCCGCGCAGGTTCGCTTTTTTTTTTCCTCACTACCCTGCGTAAAGAAGTATAACTTCAAAAATAATTTGTGTATAGTCAACACATTTTTCGGTTTAAGAAAAATTGCATTATACTCTTTAAGTCATGAGTATGACGTGTAACACGACGTACTATTTATTATGAACTATTTATAATATGAAAAATACAAAACGAAGACTGTCACTCGCGGGCTCGGTGCCTCGGTCGCCAACCGCGACAATAAATTAAAAGTCGGCACTAAATAAAATATTCGTCATCTAATAGCAATGTCATAGTTTTTGACGCTCGACACAAAGGCGGTGATCGCCGACCAAACACCGACGGTCGTCGGGTTGTGTAATATCTATATCTGTGGGGTATTTCCAAGAAGCGCTTGAGAATTGCCAATACATTTTACTATTGTCAATTTTATTTATAGACAAATATTTGCAGTTTTTACAGCAAAAAATATGATCGATACGTCGTCGTGTGCTTATATAAATATAATTTTAAAATGCATATTTTGGGTACACTTAAACGTTAAAAATCAGGATGGGCCCACCAGGCCTACCCGCTGGACACGCCTCTGCGCGGTTCTGGACTCCCTAAGTTTTCGTATTTCATATTCCGAGCTGAGCGATGAATCTAATAAGTGGTAGTTATATTTTGTTTCTACATCGATGTGTATTTTTAGATTCTGAGCGGAGCTAGGAAGCTGTACAATGGCTTTACGATTGTGTTTAATTAATTTTTTTGTCCTGTATACGAAATTTCTACCGGAAGGAGTGCTTATAGATTTCCACGTATAATGTCATATTATCTTTTAGCAAATTGGATCAAGATGGTTCTCTAAAGAGGTCGTTTTTCGATTTTCTCAATAGTTATTTAATGCCACGGGAAACACCACCTACAGATTACGAAAAAACCACTAAAAACGGGATTTTAGTTTCTAAAGCTTTGTTTATCACAATAAAAACGAACAAAAAATTATGACGAATAAGTGTTTTTACAATATAAAATATCCAGACTGGCAATCTGTCACAGAATCGTTTTTCCTATACAATGATATTATTATATCATTGAATTCAAATTTAATACAATACATTATACAGTGATCCACTTACCCGCTTATTTATTTTTTTACATTTTTGTTATTGTAGATTCTCAGCGAAGCGAATGTATTATGTACTGTATTTGCAATAATGATGTGTGTTTTTTTTCTATCGTCAAAAGGTTGGGTAGTTAAAAATTGGGAGTTCGAAATTGAAAATTCCCAGTAATTTTTAAAAGCTTATTGGGAAAACACAACAAAAATGGAAATTTTTAAGCGAAACAGATTTTTGAAAAAATGTAATTTATTTTTATGGTGTAACTCGAAAACTGATAATCGTAGATAACTGTTCGAAAAATATTTATATTACCATTTTTCATTATATTATGTACTTAATAACATTTTCAAAATATTTTGAGCTATTTATAGCTTTGAGACATTTTTCGAAGTTTGTAAATTTTTTCGAAATTATTCTCTATAAAAACTTTTTCACTCGGTAAAAAAGCTCTAATTTTTAACGCAAGATTAAAATGTTTTTCTCATGATTAATAGATATTAATTTTATAAAACACGTCGACATAATTTTCGTTCGCTATTTCGTTACCACCACGGTACTCGGTCTGACAATCTGGACAATCAGTTACTACGATAACGAGTAGATTAAAGTTATTGCTCGCTATGACTATCAACATTATTCGACGATATTATATTAATGTTATAATTATACACGTCTTCACTGTTTAACAGTCTAATGATATACTAAGATATCTTAATATCTATAATTAATATCAATATTGCAAAGTAAATTTCGAACATAAATTTATTCGAACAAAAATGCATTCGAACATACAATACATTTTCGAACACATAACCCGACACCCAATATTATGAAAACTTTCTGGAATAATTCGGGAAAATTTCGGAAAACAACCGTTTTTTTCACAGAACCTGTGAAAACGTGGAAAATTGGAGAATATTAAAATAACACATTTCCGAAAAAAACCCGAAGTTTTCAGAAAAAAAAAAAAAAAACCTGAAGTTTTCGGAAAATTAAAAAAGAAACAACCTTTGTTTAACTGATTACAGATAATACACACTCAAGGGTTAATTATAGAAAAGCACGAGACCCTTCATGCAGTACTTTTGGAAAAAATATAAACATAAAGCCCGTTTTACTATAAAAATGCAGAGAATAATTCACGATAAAATAATATACCTCTCCATATATTTTCACTCAAATCTGATATTCAGATCTCAGGCCTGGGATGAACACTAGAAAACGACTTGAAAATAATTATCGAATTCCAATCTATACGAGAAAATTTGAATAAACGTAAATAAATAATCGACGAAAACAATAGAAAACTGCAACAGCAGTCTTTATATCCCCTCAAGTGCTTTGTTGTACGCGTTTCGGACGGATGGGTGGACATGGACGACCACAAGTCGTTGTAGAGTAAAATCCAAGTGAAAAATAATAAAAGTTAACAAAAAGCCGACGGTACAATAAATATTTCAAGACTCGCAGTCAGCCCTTTTATTTTCCTTACAATCTCGTGGGAAACCCATACCTCACATTCTCCCTCGTTATATATGGGTGTACATGTATATCGAAGAAGGAGAGAGAGAAAGGGAGAGATAGAGAATGAGAGAGAGAGGGTGAGAGAGAGAGTGAGAGAGAGAGGGTGAGAGAGAGAGTGAGAGAGAGAGGGAGAGAGATAGTGATAGAGTGTGAGACGACGGCGGCGATCGTGACTACTCTTTATTTTCCGACGAATTCCTCCTCAACCTAGGGGTTGCCGTGGTGAGGGGTTGGTGATAGGGTGTGGACGTTGGAAATTTCTCCGTGACCGGTATGTATATATACACCATGTGCGTGCGTGAGTACCTCTATACGGATATAATATACTAGCTGATCCCGTGCACTTCGTCGCCCGTTAAATGGATCAACTCAATACTACCTACTCAAACTTTGTTCAATTCATTAACGTGTATGGTGTTCAAAATTTATCTTATCTTTCCCGTTGCCCTGAATAAAAATTCTGAATCGCAGCAGTACATTATCAGGTAGGCAATCTACCTGCGGTAGATCGCGGACCCCGTGCTGTTTGTACGGAAGTGTATGATTTAACTCTAAAGTATCAAAGTTATACCAAGTTTATTTTGATGTAATACTGTGGATTAATATAATAAATTTAGTTGCTCGTAAAAAATCGCAACTCTTAAAAAAATTATGATTGTTGAACTCCTTTTGGGTGTAATTTTCTGCGGTAAGTGCAACTCTGCCACCCTGGTAAGCATTGTTCAATAATTCGATTTGATGCAAGCTTGTACCTGATCTGCCCGAATAACCAATGGCAACCAATAAATAAATGCTAATTTCTAATGTAGACTGTAACCAATGGCAACTATAAATAAATAAAAATAAAATTTCCAATTTCTATCGTGAATCTCAATGTCCCTGTTTCAGCACCTATTTAAAATTCGAATTTTGGCAAATCCTTTCTTAGCGCACGTCTATATTATAATAGCTATCTGTATGCCAAATTTCAGCCAGATCCGTCCAATGGTTTGAGCTGTGCGTTGATAGCAGTCAATCAGCTTACTGTTTTTTATATACAGATATGGTTGCCATGGTAATATGGACACACACACACACACACACACACTGACATACATTCATTTTTATATATATAGATATAGATTGATATGAAATCTTGGTAACCTTAGTAACCATGGCAACCTTGGTAACCATGGTAACATGGACACACAGACACACAGACACACTGACACACTGACATACATTCATTTTTATATATATAGATATAGTGTATGTATATTATTGCGGTACGCGGGCACGACGATAGTGGCTGATGGGAATATGTGATGGGTCGGTGGTCGTCGGGGGGGGAGGGCGGTGTCGGTGGCGGATCGGGACAAAAGGTTCCCGGGGGAGATTATACTGTCGGCGGCGGTTGTCCGACGCTGCTGTATAATATTATAATATACTTTACACCGTGCGTATATATAAGCGCTGTACTACACCTCTAGATGGCTGCACCGTTCGCGATATCCGGATTTTTCCCAACACTACGGGGTATAAAATAGTGAAGATAATAATAATAATATTATTATTTTTAATTTTGACATATTATTATTATTATAGTACGAATTCGCGAGGCACGTGTCGCCGCGATGAATGGGTTCGAAAACGTCGCTGAGACGGCGAGCAGCAACACATTATTGTCATAAAGATGATAATTGTAATATGCGACGAAGTCGAGCTTTCAGTTTTTGTGCACAAACATCGGGACCTGGTGCTCAAACGATGCACAAAAGTTTGGCGTTTTCCAGAAGTTCAATTTTCGTAAGTGGGGGATCATTGAAATGGACCTTAACATTAGTATTGTTTTTAAATATTTTACTCTAAATAAGTATGAATCTTAAAAGTTATAAGTTATAACTATGAACAATTTAAAGATGGCAAACCTATGTTAACAGTAATTTATATTTTTGAAATACTTTATCCCTGTTTGATTTATAAATATTGAATTTAATAGAATATTAATTTACTTGTGTAATTCAAATTTCAATAAGATACGAAACTGCAATGGTTTGGTGTAAATACCTAGTGGCTAGTACCTACCTACTAAAGAGGTATACTTATATAACATTAACATTATTATGCCATTTCAAATCGTATAATTGTTATAAATATTTTTTTTTTAATAAAACTTATTTTTCCATCTTTCATTCATGCCATAATATTTAAGCAATATTTGACACCTAGACTAACTATAACTTGCCAGTTATAGCTATACTTACCAAAAACCTACTATGGACAACAAATTCTATTAATTTGATAGTTCTAAGTGTGGTTGATTACCTTTCTATACCAAAAATAACAATATAATTAATAAAAAAAAAAATTCAACATTAAACGTTAAGCAGAAAACAAACAATTAAAAGAACGTTTAAGAATATAAAAACGATAAACGGAAAAAATCAAATTTCGTTTGAAAGTACAATAACGATACTAAGGCCCGGTTTTTCATTCATCCAGTTATTAGCCAGATAAGTGTCCGTTGGATAAACTTATCTGGCGGATAATCTTTCAAATAAAGTGATTCCGGTATTTCAATGTAATTTTATTCTCCAGACAGCTATCCGACGGATAAAGTTATCGATAGGAAAATTATACTAACAGAAGGTAGTTTCTGTTCATTATGGAACAAGTTACACATATCTATTTGATTATGATTGGTCAATGATGAAATTAATAAGGAATCGTAGAAGAAGCTTAGATCATAAACACTTTATATATTATGTCATTATGATATTTACACATATTATATTATTATTATTGTAATATTGTATGTAATAACTAGGGCTCGGATTTATATGTAAATACATATTTTTACTGCGACTTGATAAATTAATTTAGGTAAGTGATAAATTTTTTTTAGGTAAGGGATTTCCATTGTAATGAACTATATTTTATTTTACATATTTTTACATATTTTGTCATAAGTACATATTTTTACATACTTCTCAATAATTCCATTTTTCCCTACATATTTCGACAATTTACGATTTATTAATAGTTGTATACGATGTATACGATTTCCCATGTTTCAAAAAGTACGTAAACAAAATAATACCAATTATTGAACTAATCGACCGTAATCTACGGTCGATATAATATTATATTCGAAACTTTGAAAAAATAAAAGATGTTGTATCAACGTTGGATTCTACTTCAGCAGTTTCTATTCAAAAAGCGAAACATTTATTAAATATAGATGATATTAAAAATAATTTAATTTATATATCTGTTAATTTTGGATTTTTAGAAGATACAATAAAACAACTAGAAACAAGAAAAATGACTTTAGTTCAAAGTTTAGGACTTATAGAAGAAGCTGAAAAATGCATAGAATAAGTACAAGGACCCTTGGGAGTTGCAGTAAAAGAAAAAATGCACAGCGTATTACGTAAAAATCCTGGTTTAGACTGCTTAAAATTAATTAGAGATATACATTGTGAAATTAATGGGGTAATATTTCCGACTGAACTCACTGCTTTAGACATTGCAAATTTGAAATTTGTACCCATTACCTCTGTGGAAGTCGATCGCTCCTTCAGTCAGTACAAATTTGTGTTACGAGTTACGACCAAATCGTAGATCATTTAACTTTGAAATTTGAGCATGTATATGGTATCTCATTGCTTTCAAAACCAAGATAATCAAAATGAATAATGAATAATAGTAGTAAAATAAGTAAATTAGTTAATAATGTCATTAATAAAGTAATTTTTTATATTTTTTTGTAATTTTTTTGTATTCCATAATTTCATTTTTTAATCACATATAAAGTGATTTATTATTACATATATATTTACATATTTTGGTTTTTTTAATACATATAAATCCGAGCCCTAGTAATAACTAATTAGTAATTACTAAATTATTAACTGTGATTTGTGTTGTGTGTTGAGTGCTGACTCTCATTCGATATAAGTTATATTCACTTCTCTATTCAACATGTCTCAAAAAAACATATCAAAAAAACTAAGATCAACAAATAATTATTTCACTTTCGGTCTCTGGCATACGTATGAATATTGGTCGAAGTTTTGCTATGGCCACACTATAACATCGCGTATTATTAAACAAGCTGTGCTTTTACTAACACCAATAAAATCACCAGCCGTTATTGGGAAATCGCCAGTAGCATAAAACCGTAGAGCCAACAGTAATTTATTTATCGGTGTCACAGCATTGTTACTTATATATTAAAAAATGTAAAAAATAATTATTAATAAATTTAGTTCGGTAAAGTTAATAAATAATTATTTATTAGCTCACCAAATAGTTTGTGAAGCTATTTCGTCTTCAATATATTCTAATAAATTACGAACAACATTTCTCCCAAGTCTGAATCTCACCCTAAAGTCATGACCATCCCACGCCAATATATGATTTATTCTTTCGTGTACAGTGTATAGACGACGATATTGAATTATTTCATAATCATCGTCCTCTTCAAATAAATCCATTTAAATGAAATCGAACGCAGACGAAAATTGTGAAATTTACGACAACACAACGTACCTATTTCATAGTTAAATATTTAAAATAATATGATAAATTATGATAACGAACCATATTTATATTATCAGTTGTTAGTTATCCGTCGAATACGATTTGAAACAAAAAGTAACGGATAACTTACTTATCCGCAACAATATCCATCGGATAAGGTTTATCCCGAATTTGAAAAACTGAAATATAAACATTTTTTTCTTATCTGACGGATAAAAATGATTGAAAAACCGGGCCTATGTAGTATACTATGCATAATGTATACAGTCAACATTAAAATAAAATAATATAATGTAGATGAAAAAATTAAAAACCTTAACGGGCTATATTATAATTGCAACGAGATGCGCAATTTGACTGTGTACGAAAATTTTTTTTTTTGTAACGTAGGGCCGAACGCGGCACGTGTTGCGACCGCCGCGAGTAACCATAAATCATATTGTTATAACTTATAATATATTACAATTGATTATATTATATACTAGTATATATAATCAATGATATTACGTTGCGTTTCTTTCCGACAACAACAAATAGACTAAAACAAGAAAATAAAACTAAAAGTAACAATATTTCATGCGCACTGTACGAGGGCCGGAGTGCATAATATACTCGTATGTTACATAATATATTATTATATTCATATTTGTGTATTTGTGTGTATGTGTGTGTGTGTGTGTGGGTGCACATAGCATACATTATAGACTCCAAAAAGTAGATACAAGCCGGCGTTGTGACCTCCGCTTATCATTGTGAACTCCAAAATCCGGAGTCCACAATGCCTGGGCATATTTTCATATTCTAGACGTTTTTTTCAATAATTTGGTCACAAAAATTATTAGGAATTCATAATGATGCTTTTACTCCATCAGTGTAAAAATGATGCGTGTGAAATAGTTCAAATTCTTAACTATAGGCGGCGCATGACTTTGAGATTTACACGGGTGTAAAAGGATTTTGAACAAATACGCTACAAAGTCTTCCGACACACAACTAACACACAAGTTCGGCCGAAACACTTTTATAACATCCTTACATAGAAATGTACTGTGTACTAGATTTCACCAAAGAAAAAAAGAAAATGATTCTGTACAACAGTGGATAGATGTTAAAAAACAAATTGTGCACATGAAAAATTATATATAAATTATAAATAGTAAATACATTTTAAATCCCCAACAGTATACAAATTAATCAATTTCAATACTAATAAGTAATTTTTAAACGAACATTGAACCATTCATATAATTATATATTTGTACATATTGCATCAAAATGATAACTTGAAGTCTAAGTAATATAATAAATAGATGTTACCACCGTCTATTATGAATTAGAAACGTGTGAGCTAAAAAATGTATTATAAAGTCCTAGTGCCAAATAAATACATACAAAAAATCTGACATTTGGTATCTTAGACTTAGAGCATATTAAAATGAGTTCCATAAGTATTCATAGTGTGAATATATTGCGTTAAAAGTATGTCTTGTGGATTCAGGACTCAAAAGAGTTACACACAACCCTTCTGAATTCCGGAATCTTAAAGCATACCAAGTTGAGTTCCCTTCGTATTTATTATGTGATTAAATATGTGAGAAATAACTGTTACTTGTGGACTCCTGATACTAGTAAGATACACGCAACCCTTATGAACTCTATACTGTCAGTCGGTAAATAGTACAATCAGTTTTATTCAATTCATCTTTAAAGTGTGCATAAAACGCGTTAAAAGTATGTCTCTTCAACTCCGGACGAAAAATAGTTACACACAACACTTCTGACCTCCGGAGTCTTAGAGCATATCGAATAAAGTTCCTTTCGTATTTATTGGGTGCTAAAGTGTGTGAGAGATAACTGTTACTTGTGGACTCCTGATGCTTTGCAGATACACGTAACCCTTATGAACTCTATATTGTCAGTCGGTAAATAATACAATAAGTTTTATTCAATTAATTTTAAAGTGTGCATAAAATGCGTTAAAAGTATTTCTCGTGGACCCCCGACAAAATAAAAAACACACAACACTTCTGACCTCCGGAGTCTTAGAGCATATCGAATAAAGTTCCTTTCGTATTTATTGGGTGCTAAAGTGTGTGAGAGATAACTGTTACTTGTGAACTCCTGATACTAATAGTATACATTCAACCCTTGTGAACTCTATAGAGTCAGTCAGCAAACTATACGCTCAATGTTATTAAATTCGTTCTTATGGTGTGCATAAAACTCGTTAAAAGTATTTCTCGTGGACCCCCGACAAAATAAAAAACACACAACACTTCTGACCTCCGGAGTCTTAGAGCACATCGAATAAAGTTCCTTTCGTATTTATTCGGTGCTAAAGTGTGTGAGAGATAACTGTTACTTGTGGACTCCTGATGCTTTGAAAATACACGTAACCCTTATGAACTCTGTACTGCTATTCGGTAAATAATACGATCAATTTTATTCAATTCGTTTTCATTGTGTGCATAAAGCACGTTAAAAGTATGTCTCGTGTACTCCAGACGAAAAATAGTTACACACAACACTTCTGACCTCCGGAGTCTTAGAGCATATCAAATAAAGTTTCTTTCGTATTTATTGGGTGCTAAAGTGTGTGAAAAATAACTGTTACTTGTGGACTCCTGTTACTATTAAGATAGACGCAGCCCTTATGAACTCCATACTGTCAGTCGGTAAATAGTACAATCAGTTTTATTCAATTCGTTTTTATGGTGTGCATAAAACTCGTTAAATGTATGTCTTGTGGACTCCGGACGCAAAATAGTTACACACAACACTTTTGACCTCCGGAGTCTTAGTGTGTATCAAGTCGAGTTCCCTTCGTATTTATTGTATGCTAAAGTGTGTGAGAAATAACTGTTATTTGTAGACTCCTGATGCTTTGCAGATACACGTAACCCTTATGAACTCTATACTGCTATTCGGTTAATAATACGATCAATTTTATTAAATTCGTTTTTAGGTGTGCATAAAACTCGTTAAATGTATGTCTTGTGCACTCCGGACGCAAAATAGTTACACACAACAGTTCTGACCTCCGGAGTCTTAGAGCATATCGAATAAAGTTTCTTTCGTATTTATTCTATGCTAAAGTGTGTGAGACTTAATAGTTTCTAGTGGACTCCTGATACTAATAATATACATGCAACCCTTGTGAACTCTATAGAGTCAGTCGGCAAACCATACGCTCAATGTTATTAAATTCGTTTTTATGGTGGGCATAAAATTCGTTAAATGTATGTCTTGTGGACTCCGGACGCAAAATAGTTACACACAACACTTCTGACCTCCGGAGTCTTAGAGCATATCGAATAAAGTTTCTTTCGTATTTATTGGGTGCTAAAGTGTGTGAAAAATAACTGTTACTTGTGGACTCCTGTTACTATTAAGATAGACGCAACCCTTATGAACTCCATACTGTCAGTCGGTAAATAGTACAATCAGTTTTATTCAATTCGTTTTTATGGTGTGCATAAAACTCGTTAAATATATGTCTTGTGGACTCCGGACGCAAAATAGTTACACACAACACTTCTGACCACCGGAGTCTTAGAGCATATCGAATAAAGTTTCTTTCGTATTTATTGGGTGCTAAAGTGTGTGAAAAATAACTGTTACTTGTGGACTCCTGTTACTATTAAGATAGACGCAACCCTTATGAACTCCATACTGTCAGTCGGTAAATAGTACAATCAGTTTTATTCAATTCGTTTTTATGGTGTGCATAAAACTCGTTAAATGTATGTCTTGTGGACTCCGGACGCAAAATAATTACACACAACACTTCTGACCTCCGGAGTCTTAGAGCATATCGAATAAAGTTTCTTTCGTATTTATTGGGTGCTAAAGTGTGTGAGAAATAACTGTTACTTGTGGACTCCTGATGCTTTGAAGATACACGTAACCCTTATGAACTCTGTACTGCTATTCGGTAAATAATACGATCAATTTTATTCAATTCGTTTTTAGGTGTGCATAAAACTAGTTAAATGCATGTCTTGTGCACTCCGGACGCAAAATAGTTACACACAACACTTCTGACCTCCGGAGTCTTAGTGTGTATCAAGTCGAGTTCCCTTCGTATTTATTGTATGCTAAAGTGTGTGAGAAATAACTGTTATTTGTAGACTCCTGATGCTTTGTAGATACACGTAACCCTTATGAACTCTATATTGTCAGTCGGTAAATAATACAATAAGTTTTATTCAATTAATTTTAAAGTGTGCATAAAACTCGTTAAAAGTATGTCTCTTGTACTCCAGACGAAAAATAGTTACACACAACACTTCTGACCTCCGGAGTCTTAGAGCGTATCAAGTCGAGTTCCCTTCGTATTTATTCTATGCTAAAGTGTGTGAGACTTAATGGTTTCTAGTGGACTCCTGATACTAATAATATACATGCAACCCTTGTGAACTCTATAGAGTCAGTCGGCAAACCATACGCTCAATGTTATTAAATTCGTTTTTATGGTGGGCATAAAGCACGTTAAAAGTATGTCTCGTGTACTCCAGACGAAAAATAGTTACACACAACACTTCTGACCTCCGGAGTCTTAGAGCATATCAAATAAAGTTTCTTTCGTATTTATTGGGTGCTAAAGTGTGTGAAAAATAACTGTTACTTGTGGACTCCTGTTACTATTAAGATAGACGTAACCCTTATGAACTCTATACTGCTATTCGGTTAATAATACGATCAATTTTATTAAATTCGTTTTTAGGTGTGCATAAAACTCGTTAAATGTATGTCTTGTGCACTCCGGACGCAAAATAGTTACACACAACAGTTCTGACCTCCGGAGTCTTAGAGCATATCGAATAAAGTTTCTTTCGTATTTATTGGGTGCTAAAGTGTGTGAAAAATAACTGTTACTTGTGGACTCCTGTTACTATTAAGATAGACGTAACCCTTATGAACTCCATACTGTCAGTCGGTAAATAGTACAATC